TTAGAGGTTATGCAGTATGTTAGACACATGTAACCTTTTCTAGGTATGGTATATATTTTTGGCTTTTTTTTGAAGTAATCTAGGTCCTACGTTTCATCCACTTTGGATTGAAAAGCTTCTAAATTCACTTATTCCGCCATCCAATTAAAATCTTTTAAGAATTAAGCAATCATTTCCTGACTTGCCAAGGATTAAATTTAGATGCTTGGTTGAACATGAGCCTTATCTCTCAAGCCATCACTTTTAATTGGAGCATGTAAAAGGATAACACAGGGTTTTAGCTGGCATCATACTCTATCGCCATGGAAATGTAAACATGGCTTTGTATTGAGCTTGTCTCAAAGCAAGTTTTAGGGGTACAGAGAGACTGGGAGATGGGAGATAAATTATGTAAAAAACAATGCTGTAGATGTTGGAGTGCCCTAGGAGTTCAGACCTTCAGTGATCTCATCCTGCCTCACGACCTCAAATATCCTCGATACAGTGATGACTCTTAAATTTATATCTCCAGCTGGTCCTATTCTCTGAACTCCAAACTCCTATATCTGTCTTCTTGACGGCCTCAGTTGGATGTCTAACAGGCACCTCGAATATCGCATGTCCACCCTGAGCTCCTGATACTGCCCTCTTCCTAGCCAGCTTGCTCTGCTCCCAATCTTGTTTCTTGGCAAAAGTCAGCTTCCCCTTCCACATGCAGAGGCCACAGAACTTGGGAGTAATCCTTGACCCATCTGTAGTCCTCAGCAAATCCTGTCAGCTCTGCTTTCAAAATATAATCAAAAGATGCTCACTTCTTCCCACTTGGACTGCTTTCAAGCAACCGTCATTTCTTGCCTGGATTATTGTAACAGCTCTGAACTGGTCTCCCCTTTTTTGCCCTTGCCTTCCTTCAGTCTGTTCTCACAGCCCCCATAGTGATGATATTAATATGTACATCACATGAGGTCACCCCTCTGCTCAAACCCTCCAGTGGCTTTTCATCTTATTCAGGGTATGACCCAACATCCTTTAATCATTAACTGCCCTCCCCCCTCCCATTCTTTCTTCTTCAGCCACACTGGACTCCTTGTTGTTCACTGACCATATGAGGCATGTTTCCACCTCAGGGCCTTTGCATATGCTCTTATCCTGAGTATCTGTATGGCTGGCTTCCTTTCCTCCTTTAGGTTTTTACTCAAAATCACCTTCTTAGTGAGGCTTTCTGTGGGCAAGGACCTAAAATTACTACTCCCATCTCCCTTTCATGCCTTATTTTCCTCCTTAGCATTTATCTAACATACTATGCATTTTACTTATTTCTACTGATATGGTCTCTTCCATTAGAATGTAAGCTCCACGAGGCAGGGATTTTTGGCTGTGTTTTTCACTGCTGCATCCTCTGCACTTAGGGAAGTACCTGGCATATATACAAAGTCAATAAATATCTGTCGAATGAATAAAAGATGGGTGATACACGTCATAAAAAATAAAGATTATTAATGAAAGCATGATTAACAAAGATCTGTGAGCTTAATCTCCAATGAAGTTTATTTGTTGTTGGGTTTTCATGGAATTCTGTCTTTGGAGGAACTCTGACTTAATTTTCCACAAGCTTGATTTATCTTTGCATTGTGGAACTTCAGAGATGAGTGTTCAAGAAGAGAATAATGATAAACATAGGTGGCTATTAAATAATGCTCACTTTGCCATGTTGGATGAGCTAATGATATTTTAAAATTATTAGTACACAGAGCTTACTATTCATAGCAAACTGAAATTAGACATAAAAAAAAGTTGCTCATTGATTTAATTAGCAGTGTCTGGCACACAGTAATGTAATATATAAAATGAATTGGATTGGGTGCTGTCCAAGAGGGCTTGGTTACTGAAGTAGTTTTATTTCTGAAGTGATTCTACAGTGTAGGCACGGGTGTCTAAATTGGTGCCAGTTAAACTAAGAAATAAAGTAAGGGACAGGCACGAAGATACCATCTTTAGACTTGAAAATTACAAATCCTTAGTTGTTCTCCTTTATCAGCTTACAAAGTAAACAATGAATGCACACACTATAAGCTTTCAAATGAACTGCAGATGAAAAGGGCAATAAATACCAGCCAGAGGTAGATGTAGAGGCAGAATGCTATAATGGAAAGATAAAGCTTGGGAAACGTGGGTTTCCAGCTTTCACTGTGACACTAACTGGCTGTGTGATTTTGGGTGAGTCATCTAACTAGTCTCTTAGTTAGCTCACCTGTAAAATGTGGAGAATGGACTGATGGGCTTTAATGATCCCCCAAGCTCGAAGTATTTTAAGATTTTTTTGACTTTAAGCTTTATCACTGTGGTAGGCAGAATAATGTCCTCCTGCCCCCCCCCCCCACCCCAAGGATGTCTACATTCCTAACCCCCAGTACTTGTGAATATTACATTACATGGCAAGAGAAATTCAGGTTGCTAATAAGCTAACTTAAAATAAGGATATTATCCTGAATTATCCATTTGGGCCCAATATAATCACAAGGGTTCCTGTAATGTAGAAGAGGAAGAGGAAGGCAGAAAGTGAGCATCAGAGTGATGCCATGTGAGAAAGACTTGATGGACCATTGCTGGCTTTGAAGATGAAGGGGCCATGAGCCAAGGAATGTGGGAAGCCTCTAGAAGCAGGAAAAGGCAAGAAAATAGATTTCTCTTCGAGCCTCCAGGAAGGAACGCAGTCTATAGACACCTTGATTTTAGCTCAGTGAGCTCTGTGTCAGACTTTTGACCTCCAGAACTGTACTAAATTTGTATTATTTAAGCCACTAAGTTTGTCAATTTGTTACGGCAGCAAGAGGAAATGAACACAATCATGATATATACCATAACTAGCAAAGCTGGACCCAAGTTTATCACAGATGCAGGGTTTTAAATAAAAATTTTATACTCAGGTATTTTGTAAAGATCTTCAGAGGCAGGAGTAATCAGCAATCATAAGAAGTTTGCAGATAAGCCATGAGACAGTCTCTAAGAGAGTAAAATTTTTACTAGTGATTCATGAGAAGTAGAAACCTGGTTATTTTACAAAGGAAAGAAAATGGCGAGAGAAGAGACATTAGAAAGGTTATATACAACATGAGTTTCTTATTTCTCTGGACCTCAGTTTACTCCTTTATGAACTGAAGGGCTGGGATAAATAATCTCTAAATTCCTCTAGCTCTTTATTTTTAAAGGGGATGGGGAGAGAGAGAGAGAGGGAGGGCGGGAGGAGCAGAAGGAGAGGGAGAGAGAGAGAACTTAAGGAGGCTCCATGCCCAGTGCAGAGCCTTGCGTGGGGCTCGATCTCACGACCCTGAGATTATAAGCTGACCTGAAATCAAGAGTTGGACGCTTAACCGACAGAGCCATCCAGGCACCCCAAATTCCTCTAGCTCAAATAAGATTTTAAAATCCCAACAAATGTTACATGAGCCTTTGACACTCCACTCTCCCCCAAGTATGAAGAGTATTCATTTTATAAAGTATAATTATCCTTAATGTTTGATGGTCAAGCATAACAGAAAGCTCAGACTTAGTTTAAGAAGAAAGTGGCTCTGAATTTTAAACCTGACACTTATTCAGGTAGGGTGCATGGGAAAATTGCTTAGCTTTCTCTTTTGCCACTGCACCTATAAAAGTATGTTTTCAGCAATCATTATATCTGCCCCTAGCAGTCTCTCCCCCTTCCTACTCTTGGTCTGGAAATATGATTAACCTAGCTTATAAATATTTTAAGCAACATAAGACTAAATTGGTTACATACAGACCCTAGAGCTATCTTCTAGGTAAAACATAGGTGGTGCAGAGATTTGGTGACTTGATTTTCCCAAAACCTTTTTACTTATTTCCAGGCTCTCTGCTGTCCTTTGGAAAAGCAAGGTTGCAGGACAGATGAGGTCTGAACTGTGGCATGTGTGATCACTTTTAATTTTTATAATGTAAAAAAATAGTATATTTGAAAAGCCACTCACAAAAATATTAAATGAAAGCAATCTGAATGGTAGAATTTTCTTGGAATATGATTTTTTTTTACAATGAACATATTTTTGTAATTAAAAAAGCCATTTTCCCTTCCTCCCTCCCCCGCTTTTTATTTTTGAATAGGCTCTAAGCCCAAGGTGGGGCTTGACCTCACAACTCCAAGATCAAGAGTTGAGAGCTCTAGCACCCAGCCAGCTAGGCACTCGGCCATTTTCATTTTATTTTTTTTTTTTAAAGATTTTATTTATTTATTTCACAGAGACAGAGATAGCGAGAGCAGGAACACAAGCAGGGGGAGTGGGAGAGGGAGAAGCAGGCTTCCCGCCGAGCAGGGAGCCCGATGCGGGGCTCGATCCCAGGACGCTGGGATCATGACCTGGGCCGGAGGCAGACGCTTAACGACTGAGCCACCCAGGCGCCCCTCCGCCATTTTCATTTTAAAAAAAGAAAAATTAGGGATCTCTCCATCCAACCTATTTTCACTATTTGATCATTGTTTTTTTTTTTTTTTTATCGTTGTAAACATTGTGTTTATGGGTTTTTATTGATTCACACTCGGGTTGCCATAAGATAACCCATATACTGATACATACAATACTGAAAAGCAAGGTGTAAATATGAACTTTGCAGGAATGCCAACAGTCAGTACGGTGAAGGGTGATTGATCGATCGCCTTTTTGACCTCTGCTCCGCTCATTCAAGTTCAGACGAATAATACCCAACCTGGTTCATGTCACTGTTCACAAAACACCTTCCTTCATTTTGTCCTCACAACAACCCTGGGAGGCGGGCACGTTCTCAGAGATAAAATGACTTGACCAAAGTTACTTAGGCTAGTCAGGGGACAGGTTCAACAGCCTGGTCAAGAAAACCGGAGGTCTTTGCAGGCGCTTCTAGTAACAGTAAGAGCTTCCGCTACACCTGGCCTCTACGTTCCCTAACTTGACAGTTACCTTTACCAACTCAAATTCTGCCTCTTCCACGCCAGGGAGGCAGGCTGCGGGCTAGGGAAACCTGTAACTCACCCCAAAAGCGGGCACTCTCCATTGCCAAAGCCCCGGTGCCAAGCACAGTCCGCCCCCTCGCGCGACCGCAGGCTCTGCGTACTGCGCCGGACTAACCTGACCAGGTCGGTCATGCAGGAGCCCACCACTACCACCGCGGGCACCTCCTCCTGCCACTGCCGGCCGGGTTCCCCAGAGGCGGCCATGGCCCAAAGGGGGTGTTCTCCAACCCAGAGGCTGACCTTTGCCCTTTGCCCAACCCTGTAACCAGAAACGCCGCTTCTACGCTCCCTAACGACGCGGGCCTTCCGGACGCCTCTGCGGGTCGCCCACCTGACTGCCCGAAATAACCCCGCCCCCAACCGCCCCCTGTTCTTCCCGGCACGGTCTCCCTGCACCACCTCTCGTTACAGAGGCCTCCCGATAGTTCCAGACTCCACGCCGCTCGCCACCCACGAGACCCGCGCGGAGGAAAGACCTTTCAGGCACTGCGGGGACGCCTTTCCGAGTGCCCGGCTCGGTGCGTCCGGGGGCGCGCACGCCGCCCGGCTCCCGGGCCGCAGAGGGGGCGGGGCGGGACGTGCGGGGGCGCGCACGCATCCCGCTCGCGGTGCGCGCGCAGGTCGGTGCGTCAGTCGGGGGCGCGCTCGGGTAACCTGTACCCCCACGTAGTCGCCGGTTACCGATCGGACTAAGTTCCAGGTACCTGGACTGGGGCTGGTGCGGGGAGGTTGGATCCCGAGTCGCACAGGTGGCCTGTGCACAGGACCGTGGTTTAAGTATGCCCGGGGCTCGCCGCCTCTTCCTATAGAGAAGGCCCCCGTTCCAGAGATGCCCTGCTCATCCCCATCATGCTGGTCCCCGCAAGGACGAGTCCCCCAAGGCCAGAGGCTGCTCTTTTTGCGTATCTAGCCCGCCCCCTGCTCCCTCAATAACCTCAGACTCCTTTCTCCTGTCCGCCTGATGAGGGGACCATACAGTTTGGGAACAGGGAGAGTATCCCTTTTTAGATGGCCCCTAGAGTGGGGTGGTCATTCTTTGGGTCTGAGCCGAGTTGTTTTTCTTGAATGTTGCCCCTGGAGAAACTGCTTCCCCACTTAACTTCCCTCGTGCGCTGTATGACGTTGAGGTGACGCAGCAGGACGCCACCCCTTTCCGTTCCATGACGTAAGCAGGGCACACGTTTCCGTGTTTGTCATCCCATCTTAATTGCGAGATACTGGACCATGCCTTAGACGTCTTTGTAGTCCCCAGGCTGCCCATCCGAGGACCTTATGTGAACCTGTTCGAGCAGCAGACCCTGTAAAAATTGTATTTCTACATTTTCCTTCTGTAATACCTCAAAATCAGGAAATAAAAATTGCACAACTAGCATTCAGGGGAGGCTGGCTGCTGTAAATTTGTGCCTAGCTGGGATCTATTATAGAACTGTGATGTGTAAAAGCCACTATTGGGGGTGAGCCCCCGTCCATGTCCCTGGCTCAAAAGGATCACACCAAAGAACCATCATCTTTGGCTATTTGGTGACCTATGGTTTTGGAGTATTTCCACTCTGTCTTAGAGAAGTCACTACACTTACGGTTGAAACAGATTTTAACGCTGCAGGAAGTCTTGCACTGTCAAAAAATAGTATTGTAGCTGTTCTGAAACAAAGAAATTCATTCCTTCAGGTGTTAGTTGAAGGTCCTGACAGTTGCTGAATTGGGACGGGTTGTTGTCACCTTAAGTATAGTTTGGCTTTTGGTGCAGGTTTCTTCCCTGTAGCATTTGACTGGTCGATTACTCAGGCCAGCTTTGGCAGCAGGCCAGCTTTGGCAGCAGACCAGCTGTAGTCAAACGTGTTTCTGGTGGTCAAGCAACCATTAGTTCAACTTCATAATTTTTTTCTGTTCCAATTTTATAAGTTGTACACTTAAACAGATGACTTTGATGCCTTTCTCTTTGGTGATTGCAATTATACATGCTTAATGTGAGAGGAGGATGGGTATAGTGGACTTTGAGGGAGATCTGGATTTGAATTCTGATCTTTATTCTTGCTATGTTTGTGACTTTGAAAAAGTTACTTAGACTTGCTGAGCTTTAGTTTTCTTATCTGTGAAATGGGAACAATAATAGAGAACAGGGTTGTTGGGGGGAAGTAAATGAAATTACAGGTAGAGGTGGGTAATATAGTGCCTGATACTCAGTTGATTTTTCAGAATGTGTTGATTCTTTTTCCATTTTTCATAGAAATGAGAGGTAAAAGAATGATAGGTATTATGGGAAAAAAGCATGGAAGAATAATTTTGTAATGTAGGTGAGATCTTTGCTTTTTTTCCAGATGAGTATTTCTGTGTTTTGCATATGATCTAGATAAGCATCCTTTCAAGAACTGTGACATCAGTGGATAGTAATAAGAATGGAAATGTTGCAGAATAGGAAAAAAATAAGCTTCAAAATGATAATATGGGTTAGTATGCTGTTCAAAGGCAAATTACAGAAGTTATCCTTATCTGGTGTAGAGTGGGAATTCTAATACCTGCCTACTGCCCGGGATTGTGATGATCAACTAATAATGTATTTGGAAGCTCTTTGCAAGTGGTAGTGTTATAAAAATGTACAGCATGATTTTTATGATTGATAATACAGGGCATTAGATGTTTATTCTTACTTTGTAGTGACATTGGAATGGTGGAGGGAGGTCATCTGTTAAGTGACTGGAAGAGGAGCTTGTTTTATATTTGCAGAAAGGATGATTTGAGTACTGAAGTATAAAGCTTTTACTGCCTCAAAGGTACTTCTGGGTGTCATCACTATTTAAGGTCATTAAGTTATTTTTTAAAAAATCATTGCTGTCTTTCCCTTTATTACTATCTGAAGTGATTAAAACAGGTACTGGTTTTCAACATTTATTTTGGCAGAGACTTGTAAGTCCTCATATGGTAAAATACATGAAAACTAGGACCAGAACATCATTTCCTTGTAGTTTTAACTTGTAAGAAATTAATTTGCTTTTGATGCAGGATTATCCTTTCAGATTGAGGAAGAAAGTGATTATTTAAATGGACTTATTCACCTCTGAAAGTAGAGGTTTTCATTTAGAAATCTATTTAGAGGAATTCATGCATTCCCTCTCCTAACCCCTTGGGTTTCCAAATAATTTAGATACGCTTTGTTGGTTTTACTTCTGTATTTTCAAGTGTAAGAACTTCTTAGTGCACTTTTAGATCCATGTTAGTTTGTGTTGCTTAATATCCGGCTAAGTGTTTATTTTCATGATTCAATTGTTAAATAGCGTTTTGCTACATATGTTCCTCAGATACATTATCCTCGACCACATTTTTTGAGGGCATGTTGTCTTCTCTCCATACTTCAATATTTCTCTAGTTTTTGTCTCTTTATTCATTTGTTTATTAAAAGATTTTTACTGGGTGCTTAGCGTGTGCCAGGTACTTTTGTTAAACACTAGGGATTCAAGACATAGTCCCTGCAGGGGAGAGATCACAGAGCGGGTAGTTATAACACACTGTGGAGGGAGAGCATATCAGAAGTAAGTAATTTCTTGTAAGTAACAACTGGTAAGCAGATTATGCTTATTCTTGAATTTTATACAGTATTACCAATCAAGTCCTTCTTGTGGGGACACAGAGGGAGTGGTTCCTAACTTAATGGTGTGTACGTGTTGTGTGTTGGGGGAGAGGATTGTTAACAAAGGCTTCTTAATGCCTCCGAGTAGGAAGCTGCCGGTTGTAAGACAGAGCAGGGTAGCTTTAGGTCGTGTGGGGCAGTGTGGCGGTCAGCTTTGGAAAGGAGGAGGGAATTGGATTTGAAAGGTTGCTTCTGTTCCTGAAAAACATTGATTCAGCCTCTGTCCCGAGGAAGTGAGCAACAGGGGGTTGGTTTCTTCTGGAGGGTCATTGGAAGAGGCCGCTGTAAGACAGGAAATGAGGTATTTATTCATGCAAGAGAAACTTCCTTGTGCTGTGCCAGTTTTCAGGAAACCTCTTCTCTCTAGTTCCTCTGAATACTCTGACCACCATTCTTTCCTTCTGCTTTCAGTGGTGATTTGCAAGTCAAGCTAAAATGTCCCCAGAAGTGGCCTTGAACCGAATTTCTCCAATGCTCTCCCCATTCATATCTAGTGTGGTCCGCAATGGAAAAGTGGGACTGGATGCTACGAACTGTTTGAGGATAACTGACTTGAAGTCTGGGTAGGTACCAGAACTACTTCAACTAATGTATCAGACCCAATCCAGCCCTTACCTACTAATAAACTTTTCTCACCAGATTCATAAAAATTGAACACCACAGAAATTCATCAAGTCATGATATTATCACATGATGATGCAGTTGGTTTTGTCCAGATCTTGACATTTTATGTTTCTAGTTGTTTTATTTGTGTTGTGGGCCATTGCTTTATGATCACAATGTTTGTGTCTTTTTTTTTTTTTTTTGGCATGTCTCTTTGTTAACAGTGTGCCATGTGGTTTTTAGCAAGTGTGTTTTTCATTCAATGACTTGTTTTCTTTTTACGTCTGCTGCAATCCAGCATGTACTCTAAGAGTTGGGTTTTGGAATTCTGAATCTGATATCTCTTCTAATAAGAAAATGGGATTGGTAATCTCTCCTAATAAGAAAATTGTAATAGCTAGCCAGAATGAGTCATTTTTCACAATGGGGTTGGAACAGTAGAATCTCACACCTGGGAATATTGCATTAAAAAGCCCCTACTTTTTATTTCAAAATAAATGTAGATTTACAGAAAAAATACAAAATTCTACAGAAAATTAATGTTGCTATAATGCTGTTGATTGTTCTACAAGCCTTGTTTGAATTTTGCCAGTTTTCCCACTCATGTATGTCCTTTTTTAGGTCCAGGATCCAATCCAGGATCCAAACTGAATTTAGCTGTTGCATCTTGGTCTTCTTAACCTGTTACTGTTTCTGTCTTTCTTTGTCTTTTATGATTTTGACACTTTTTTTAAAAAAAGATTTTATTTATTTGTCAGAGAGAGAGAGAGAGAGAGAGCACACACAAGCAGGAGGAGCAGCAGGCCAAGGGAGAAGCAGGGAGCCTGATGCGGGACTCAATCCTAGGACCCTGGGATCATGACCTGAGCCGAAGGCAGGTGCTAAACCAACTGAGCCACCCAGGCATCCCGATTTTGACACTTTTGAAAATAGCACTGGTTAGTTATTTTGTAAAGTGTTGCTCAGTATGGGTTCATCTACTGTTTTCCTTTTATTACAGTGAGAATTGCATTTTTTTCCCTAAGCATACTATAGAATTGATGCTGTATGGTTTTCAGTGCATTAGGTCAGGGAGTATGTGATGTTCATATGTCTGTGACTGGTATGTTAACTCGGACCGCTCAGGTAGGATTGTGTCCACCACGTTTCTCCACTATAGCGTTAGCTCCATCTTCCCTTTGTCATTGGTAAGTATCTTGTGGAGTGATGTCTTGAGGTGGTGCAGATGTTCGCTTCCTCATTGTACTTTTGGCCACAAATTTCAGCGTCCATGGATGGTTCTGGCCTGCAATCATTATTACTGTGGTGCTGATCTAAGTGATTTTCTATTTCCCTTACTCCCCCCCTCACTTGTTAATTTGAATTCTGCTGTAGAGAAGCGTTATCCCTCCTCCCCCAGTCACTTACTTATTCGCTTATTTATTTATGTCAGTGTGAATTTTGAGGTGTTTATTTTAGTCTCTAGGTTATCATCCAAACACTGTGTTCATTTATTTTGTTGCTCAGTTGTTCTAGCTTTGTCATTGGGAGCTCCGTTGAGTTGGTGTTTGTGTCTTTTTGACATATCCCTATCAGTTTTTGAGCACTTTCTTACTAGAAATATGTTGCATTCTTGATTCTCTTTTAGCTTTTCTTTTTAGTTTCTTTTGCCTGCTATAAGTCTTGCTGTTTTTTGACTAAGCTGCAGACTTAGATCTGAGGATATACACTTACTTTCTTCAGTAGTGAGATAAAGAAAACTAAGTCAATTGGATACTTTATTGGAAAATAGGATGCTTTTTAAAAGATCTGGCATTGGGGCACCTGGGTGGCTCATACATTTGGGCATCTGTCTTCGGCTCAGGTCATGATCCCGGGGTCCTGGGATCGAGCCCCACTTCGGGCTCCCTGCTGAGCGGGGGACCTGCTTCTCCCTCTCCTTCTGCCTGCCGCTCCTCCTGCTTGTACTCTCTCTCTAATAAAAAATAAAAAATCTTAAAAAAAAATAAAAGATCTGGCATTATCTTCAATTCAGTCAGTGGGTGGGGGGTTTTTTTGGGGGCAAAAATGTCCTAAAAGTCGATAGTGGGGATGGTTCTACAATTCTGTAAATATATGAAAGGTGACTGGACTGAACTGTGCACCTGTAAGGTTTTTGTGGGGTGTGGATTATAGCTTAGGGAAGCTGTCATCAAAAGAAGCCAAACCCGTGAACCAGGGATGTTTATTGTCCCAAATGGATAGGGCATGGAAATAGGTCTTTCTTCTTTAGTTTGTCACAAACATTTTTTTTTTTTAAGAGATGGCCAGAGGACTGGGACTGGCTTTTGTAAGATGATGTCATCTGAACTTCTTACTCCTTGTATCAGTAATCTGAGAGAACATTTGGGTTCATCAACATGAAGTCACTTTATTTCTTTTCCGCAGACTCCTTCTCCAGTGCTCCCCAATTCCTGAATATTTGGTTGAACATTTAAATGCAAATAGTGGATCTGATGATACATTTGAAATGAATCCACTAGACCTGGCCCGGGCTGGACTAGCTCTGTGAAAAATATTTGAAATGGCATCAGTGGCATTTAGTATTTATGGAATTTACTTTCTTTAGATTTAAAAAAGGAATGCAAATACCTCTACCTACATTAACAAAGTTGCTATGCATAAAATGATGTGAAAAGCCTTATTGATGTAGAGCATTAGTGATGCCTTTTATGTGGTGCTTGTCTGAAAGATTCATGAAAGTTCCTCGGAATCTCATTAACAATTCTTTCTTCAATCCTTCCATCAGGCAAAGTGTGCATTCCTTAAGTTTCTATAGCAAAACAGTGGCGGGGTTTGGGAACAGAATGGCTTCTTCTTAGTGTGTCACTTATTGGCATTTCCCTTTCTTTTAGATCAGCAGGACTCATGGTTACAAGAAATGGGGTGCACATTTGTGAGTTCTGTGAACTGGAAGGGGCATACCCTATAGGGCATAGCATACACAGAACTAGTCTTGTTTCTATATATGGCTACTTGCCCTTGAAGCGATGAGGTGTGTATCTATATTCTAGATCTGGCTCATAGGAGGAGTAGATAGGTAAGAATCTATTCAAAGTAAAATATTTTTTTAAAAAATAGTAACTCATCTTTATTTCTCTAATGGCACCTAAATCTTTGTACCTTATGTACACCTATGTATGTATGTGTGTATGTATGTGTGTGTGTGTGTTTCTAAGCTCCACTGCTAGACTGTCACAATCTTAAGGACAGGGTTCTTATTTATTTTTAGGCCTCCTTAAGGCCCTCTATGGTACCTTTCCCATATAGTGTAGCAAGTAGGGGTTGAATGGGTGAAGAGGTAAGATGTTTTCCTAGAGAAGATGCCTGGTTTGGGGATCATAGTGGTTTGGACTTCTGGCTTGGAAACCTGTTTATTGGTCTGGTGGATTATTGCTTAATCTTTGTTATATATAGTCCTTTAAAATTTCATTTCTTGACAAATGAATTGATATTTTTGAAATTATAGTGAAGTGTATTATAGTATGGGGTTTACTCTTCTAGGTAGAGGGGCCAAATTTTAATTTTAGGGAATTATTCCATGAGGCCACTGACTGTTTATTAGCTTTTTGCTCTGTGTTAATTTGATCACAAGCATGTGCTATTTGTAAGATGCCATATTTTGTCATTTTTAGTGATTTACTAATCTTGAAGCTGTCTACATGTTCAGTGTTCTGGAATGGTGCCTGGCAAATATAAGAGAGGAAAGCAGAGGGCTTACTGCAACCTGTGGTAGCCAAGCCTTATTATCTTTTTTCAGCATATCACAGTGACTCACCCTTACTGGCACATGGCTGTGTTTGGGGCATCTGCTATGACATCTCAGCCGCCCACAACTACCTGTTGCATTTTTTGTTCATGTTCTGAATTTCGTTACTTAATTAAAAATAGATACTCAGTGTACTTGGTTACTAAATAGAACAGTTTTCAAAGATGAGCGCTATAAGCTTTGAAGACTGATCTCCGTTTGCTGGATGGCAGACTGAGGCTTTATTAGCCCTGTGCCTGGAAGGAAGCTGCTGGCCCAGGAGGCAATACTTTAATTTTGAAGATGGGCAACTTTTAACCATTTAGTATCCAGTTGTTCACTGGGCTTTTCCATTTCACTTTTTTTTTCTGTATTCCTTTGTGATCTTTTTCCTTTTCTCCTTGTGCATATCTTTATATTTTATGTATTCATTATATAAAAATATATTCCTAAACCATATATAGTATTATATTGCATGTTTAAGAAGTTTCTACAAATGGTGTCATCATATATATATATTCTTCTGCAGCTTCTTTTGCTTAGTAGGAAGTTCTTGAGATTTACTTACGTTAATACTTATGGTTCAAGTTTTTTGGTTTGCACTGCTATATCATATTCCGTTGTATGACTGCGCCTCCAATTTTTTATTCACTCTCCCACTGATTGACTTATATGTTGTTTTAAATTTCTTTTGACAAAGAATGCCATAATGAACATTCTCTCACCTTTGTGCAAGAAGATATACACATGAGAATATTTTCTGGGGCATGGGTTTTTGAACTGGGTGTGTTTACCCATTAGTGGTTATAAAATCTATTGAATGAGTCACTCCAACATTTAAAAAATGAATGAGAATAGAATGGAAACTACCAGAATGTGTCACACATAATAAGAATAAGCACTGTTTTGTGAATTTTGCTTTCAGTTAAATAAGTATGTGTGTACTGGGTTAAAATGTAAAATATGTGTGTCATGAAAAAAAATGTTTGAAAGCAAAAAAAAAAAATATTTGAAAGCTATTCCTCTAGGGTATATTCCTAGGAATAAAATTGCTGGCTCTTAAGGTATATGCATTTTCTATTTTATTAGATATTGCCACATTTTATCAGTTTCCTTCCACCAGAACTGAATGAGGGTTCGCATTGTTCTGTAGCCTTCACAATACTCTGCGTTGTTGTCAGACTTAAATTTTTG